ACCAGATATTTAGTAATAATATTGAAAATTAACCTGAGACTGCCCCCTGCCGGTGAAAGGAAAATATAAAAGCCTGAAAATACCCATTTAAAGGACTGTGAAAATATTTCCTGGGCTATATACATCTACCTTATGACCATTGGAGATTTAAATGTGGGAACAAGGAAGACACTTAATTAAAGTGACCCCTGAATGTTAAATTATATGACTGAATCTATAAAGGTGACTTAAAGAGACTTGGATAACTCCCTGGACTATGTAAATGGAACTGACTGATTACTTATGGAACATAAAGAACTGTGATTAGTGTATGCTTTGAAGAGTAACCTCAGATTTGAACAAATGGTTCTTGGGCTATTGGCCAAAAGTGGAATTTATTAAAACAAGATAACATGCAACATAAGGAGGACAAGATGGACTGGACGTTTCAAAACATAAAGGACATGATACAGAAAGAACATAAGGTGATTATGGAATTAATGGATGGCATAGATCAAAAATTGGAAAATATTATATAAAGGACAATGAGCAATAACCAAGATGCCCAGGAAAGAAAGGAGTTACCAGAAGGAATAGAGGGAAAAACAGAATTGAGGAATCAATGAAAAGAAGATAATGAGGAGTCATCAATAACATTAATAATGATTGATGAATCAAACCAGGGGGAAAACATTCTAAGAGATCTGAAAAAAGAGAACGGGAGGAGCAGGAAGATACTTGGGGAAATTAGATAGGGATCCGGAGTGATAATTTCAAAGCTAGACAGTGGAAGAGGGTAGGGATGGGAGAAACACTTAGATTGACTAGGCAGGATGTAGACACAGATACAGACAGAGATAAAGATTTAAGAGAAGAATATGGGAGGCAAGTTAAAAAAAAGAATAAGAATTGAAGTATTGATGCAGGCAAGAGATGTTGGATAGAAGGCGGATAGGAAAAAGAAGAAAGAAAAAATATTTTTTTCTTTTTTTCTTTCTTTTTATAATGGTGGCAGGAGGAGAAATTAGAACAGAGATAGGAATGTATTCAATAAGAGATTGAGGGATTACTTGTACATAAACCTTTACATGATGAAAAAAAAGTAATAATAAAATGGGAAAATTAGAGATTGAATGATGGAATTACTAAGTAAATTTAAATAACATTGTGATTGGTAAGTGTTGAGCAATTAAATAATGAAAATAACATATATTAATATAAACATGTGTATTAATACTAGAATTATATAGATTGGATGAAAGCAAAGAATATGAATAGAGTTATTTTGTATGTTTAAATAATATCGTGATTGGCATTAGAATAGTATATTGGAACATTGAATAATGAAAAAATGAAGGATAGTATTTTAATATAAATAGATTCAAAGAGTGAAATATGGGAAATATGAATAAGAACTAAGTATTAAAAATGGGAAATTAGAGATTAAATAACGGTATTATTGAGTTTGTTTAAATAATATGATTTGCAGTGGAATAATAAAGTGAAATAATGAGTAATAAAATGAAAGAACATATTTTAATATAAACAGGTGTATTAATAGTGGAATCATATAGATTGGAAGAATGTAAAGAATATGAATAGAATTAATTTGCATGTTTAATATTATGATTGATACTAGAATTGTATATTTAAATATTGAAAAATGAAATAATGAAGGATAGTATTGTAATACAAAGAGAACGTTTTTTAATACAATGATGACATGAATAATAGTTAGAATAAAGACAGAAATAAGAGAAGGGGAATATTAGTAGACATATTTTTTATAAAATAAGACAAGTACAAGGATAAGAGGGAGGTTTAGAAACTGAACGGTGGTAGTATTATGTATGTTTAAACAATATGAAATAATGAAAGATTATAATTTGATATAAATGTGTATTACTACTATAAATATATAACCTAGATGAATGTGATAACTATGATCAATAATACTATTTTATCTGTACTGTAATGTGTGGCACCCAGGTGTCACACTGTTCATGCATTGATATGTATATGTAATATAAAATAAAAAAAATTGATAAAAAAGAATGCTGCAAAAGTCGTAAGTATGAAAAACAGTCATAAGTCACTTTTTTCAGTGCTGTTGTAACTTCAAACTGTCACTAAATAACCTGTTATAAGTTGTGGACTACCTGTACAACTTCGGATGCTTCATATTCTTCTTCTACTGTTTTTATTTTTTAAAATTGGAAACCTATTCCAACTGTCATTACAAATCAGGCGGCCTCCAAATGTAATAAACAAGCAAACAAAACTTTTTGCTCCATAAAACTCAATGAAGGAGAATGGAATTCTTGTAAATGTAAGTCACCCCAAGCCTGAGTTTTCTAAGTCTTGAAATAGTCTGTTATATCTTCTATGTATTCAAGGCAAAAGAGAACTGCTTCTTTCCCCCACACATTTTCTGTAGACCTGTAAACCAGTTGTATAGTTTGGGACCCTCATCATTCTGATGTGAAAAATGTTCTATGTTCTATGGTTTTTAGATGGTCTGAGTTCTAGCTTCACACTTCACAATTATTAATTGCTGCTTGACAATTTTATTTTTATTTTTTATTTTATCAAAATTTATATGCCGCCCTTCTCCCGTAGGACTCGGGGTGGCTCACAGAATAAAAAACAACATAGCAATAAAATAATGTTAAAACAAGCCAAATTAAAATCCCCAGACAATTTAAAACCCTTGTGGCAGATCAGGGTATTTGCTGAAAAAGCCATGTCTTCAGGTCGGCGCGGAAAGTGCAGAGGTCGGGGGCCATCCAGAGCCCGGTGGGTAACCCATTCCAGAGGGTCAGTGCAGCCACAAAGAACGCCCTCATCCTGAGGGCCGCCAGCCGACATTGTCTGGCCGACGGCACTCGGAGGAGGACAGTCCTATGTGAGCGCACTGGGCAGTGGGAGGCCGGTAGGAGGTGGTCCTGCAAGTACCCCGGGCCCATGCCATGAAGGGCTTTATAGGTAAGCACCAGCACCTTGAAGCGGATCCGAAGGGCTACCGGCAGCCAGTGCAGCTCGCGCAGGAGCGGTGTTACACAATGCAAGTCTACCATGCTTACTCCAAAGTAAATTCCATTAAATTCAATAAAGTTTGCCTCAGATTAGTAAGAAATAACAATCTTGGATACTTTCCATACTTTTGAAATGAATTGGAGATGGTAAATGGCTCTGTGGGCATGCAGAGGAGCACACATCCCTGAGATTCCTCTCCCCTAGCTTTTTAATCAATTATTAACATTCCTTGTAATTTTGAAGAGTCACTAAATGACCTATTGTAAATTGAGGATTACTTATACTGAGAAGTTAAACTAACAATAAATCTTTTCTAAGAAGTAAATGCTCAGGCAGGAGTTGAACTTTACATAAAGTTGTCACCCTCTATCATTTCAAAATAATTAAGAAAAGTATGGGTGAGAGAGAGGGGGGAGGGAGGGAGAGGAAGGGAGGGAGGGAGAGAGGGAGGGAGAGAGGAGGAGAGAGAGGGAGGGAGGGAGAGAGAGGGAGAGGGAGAGAGAGCTTTCAGTTCTGTAATCCTCATAGTGTCATGGAATCAATTAAGGAGGGTGTGTTCTATAAACAGAAGCTCTCAGGCATCCTTGGGTCAGAGTTGGAAAAACTCTGGTCTGAAATGCTGGACAGCTGCTGCCAGTCTTTACTGGCAGTGCTGGTCTACAGAGCCCATGGTTTGGCTCACTATAAGGATGCTTCTTGTGTTCCTAGGAGATGATTTGGAAAGTCAGACTCCTCAGCTACAGAAAAGCCTGAAAGAGGAGGCTATTTATCATGGCCAACTCTCCACTCATGGGGTGATTCAGAAGCCATGCAGCCAAGCCAGTAAAACAAGAGGCGCAAACAAACATGATTAACACATATTTATGACTGGCTTTGCTGGCTCCAGTCTGAATCATGACTCCTCAGTGCTTTTGTGATATAGATTAAGTTCCTTGCTCAAGAATTTTCTTCTTTAAAAACCTATAAATGCAACTTATTAATGTACGTGTATTGCATCTCATCTATTTTAGCTGTAAGAGAAAGTCAAGAGGCAAACATGAACACCGAGGATGGAAACTAGAACCAAATGGTAAGCAAGTAAAAAACACATTGGAATTCAATAAGATTTTGCGTCTCAGACAAAAAACACTGGATTAGTCAAAGTGGGAGACTATGATACTTAGAGATCATGACCTACAGATTCCTGAATAAAATCCCAGTAATTCTGTGCTGATCTTTCATTTATCTAGACAGGCTCAATTCTTTCCATTCCATTCCTAACTCATTGTCAAATGGTGCCTGCTGATTTTGCATGTGCAGATGTGATAAGCAAAACAACTGGCTGAATTCTCTGGCTTTGCTGACCTTCTTTTGCTAATCATTAATTTTTTATTAATCAATAATAACATTAGCCACCCCCCATTAGCAGAATGGGGCAGGCCTGACTTCAAGATTTTCTGTCCCATCTCTTGACTGTTTCTTGTTTCTCTCCTACCCTGCATGTATCATCAAATGAACTAAATATTACAAAAAAAAAAAAAAAGATATTTGAATTTGAAGGTGAGCCAGAAGTAGCATTTTTACTTAGGGTTTAACTTTCTTTTTTATATAGGGAACATATACTGGCTTCACAGTCAAGGGAGGGAAGTTGGTTCACTGTTTTACTATTTTAGCTTTAGGTGGTAGCATAGAATTCAAGCACCTACACAACTACAGCTGAGCAATCTAACACAGTATGCTAATAGACCACTGATACACTAATGCTTGCCCAATTCTTTGGTTAAGCTGCAGAAAGATGGCCAATGAAGTTGTCCAGAGATTAGAGGGAAGGAGGCAAACCTTCCAGAGCCTGATAGACCTACTGTGATATCATCCATTGTTAGTCATCTGACTTCCAGTTTAATAGGTAATAAAAGAAGGTAACATCATAGAGATGTGGGAGAAAAAGATGTTGCCAGGCACATTTGTATTATGATTAGTTACAAGTGGAGAAAGATCTGGAATTTCAGTCCTCTTATCAATCTCCAAAAATCATCCTCCAGGCTGGTCAAGGCAGTCTCAGCTAACTAAATTGTTCTGAAGTAGCTTAAAATGGTTTTGACTAAGTTGAGCAAGAAAATAATATTATTTTCTTCTCTCCCCAGTCTGCTCCAGCTCATTATTGACAGAATGTCTAGTCATTTCTCAGGAAGAATATTAACAGAGCTGAAAGAAAAAGGTGTGGAAATATGTAACGGAGTTACCAGAGGACAACTTCTGTGAAAAGAAAGGTATTAACAATTTTGTATTTTCCAAAAGATGAAATATGGATGATTTTTCTTTTCCTTCCTAGCATTTTCTCACATGGGCAGGGTCTGCTTTTTTTTAATCAACTGAATGTGGTTGTGACAGGAATTGACCAGCTGATCGGGTCTGATGCTATGTGGGCTGTGAGAAAATGACTGACCCAAAGTCACCCAGTTGGCTTTCATGCCTAAGGCAGACTAGAACTCACAGTTTCTGGTTTCTAATCATAATTATAATCATAAGTTTATTTGTCAAGCATATATAATATAACAGGTAAAAGTATAAACATAATTTGAATACATGAAAAGAGTAAGTAAAAAGGAATATTAGGACAGGGAAGGTAGGCACGCTGGTGCACTTATGCACGCCCCTTACAGACCTCTTAGGAATGGGGTGAGGTCAACAGTAGACAGTTTAAGGTTAAAGTTTTGGGGGTTTGGGGAAGAAACTACAGAGTCAGGTAGTGCATTCCAGGCATTTACCACTCTGTTACTGAAGTCATATTTTCTGCAATCGAGTTTGGAACGGTTTACCTTGAGTTTGTATCTATTATTTGCTCGTGTATTGTTATGGTTGAAGCTGAAGTAGTCATTGACAGGAAGGACATTGTGGCAGATAATTTTATGTACTATGCTTAGATCAGACTGAAGTCAGCATAGTTCTAAGTTGTCTAAGCCCAAAATTTGGAGTCCTGTGGCATAAGGTATTTTATTGCGATTAGAGGAATGGAGAACTCTTTTCATAAAATATCTCTGGACTCTCTCAATTGTATTTATGTCTGATATGCAGTGCGGGTTCCAGGCAGATGAGCTGTATTTGAGAATTGGTCTAGCAAATGTTTTGTATGCTCTAGTTAGTCGTACAACATTACCAGAGAAGAAGCTACGCAAGATTAGGTTAACAACTCTTAATGCCTTTTTGGCAATGTTGTTACAGTGGGCTCGGGCACTTAGATCTTTAGAAATGAGTACTCCAAGGTCCTTGACAGAGTGAGGGTCATCTACAAGGTCATGTTCATATAATTTGTATTTTATGTTTTGATTTTTTTTGCCAATGTGCAAGACAGAGCATTTGTTCGTTGAGATTTGAAGTTGCCACTTGTTAGACCAATCTGACACATAGTCAAGGTCTTTTTGAAGGGTAGTTGCATGTCTAAAATGGAGCTTAAACCACTAAACCAAACTAGCTCTTCTGTTTCTAAAAACTACACCTTAGAAGCACAAGGAAAAGGCTGCTATATATTAGACATAGCTGTATATTAGACATTAGACAAGTATGCTTTAGAGCATACTTTTGTAAACTTGTGCCTCTAAAAGGAAATCTCAGAATTCCCAGCCACCTGGTTTATTAGTCACTCAAGCAGGGAATTCTAGAAATAATAATCCCAGGACATTTGGACGATTCTAAATTGGGATGATTGCCACAGAGAAAATAGATAAAGAGTTTTTACTTACAATGTTAGAATTTAAGGCTATGTAATGAAGCTAAATATGACAAGGGAATCAGAATAGAGAAAAAGAAATTCACCTAATACAACATTAAATTATGGAATTTACTACCATAAGATGTAGCAAAGGCTAAGTAAGCATTGGTCAGCAGGCATTACATAATTCTCTGTGTTTGTAAAGGCAAAATAAAGTGAAACCAACATTTGTTTGAAGAGATTATACAGAAGCTATTTCATATATAAAATGCTACTTTTCAAGAGAAGAGTTCATTTTCTAAACAAGTATCAGTTTTTAAGCTATTATGTTTTTGAACAGAACATCTAACTCTGTCACTTGCTGGCAAGCTAGGGTTGCTTACATGAAACTGGTTCTTTGTCTGGGCTTCCAGCTGCCAAGTTCATAAAGCACTCTAAAAAATAGAGCTGGTGCTTTATTAGTGGTATTTCCCCTGGGAGGATGTAGCTGTGATCACCGCTGGGCATTCTTTGTAGGAGGAGATGGAAATACATGGTTAAGTGCTGTTCCTTGATAAATTGCAGATTTAATATTGACCTAAAACCCAGTTATTATTTGATTAAACAGGTCTGTTGGGTCCACAACAATTAAGCACTTCCTTAGCTGGAGGAATTTGGTTGTTAAGTTTTATATTTGTGAACAAATTGTTGTTTGAGGGGTTTTTTTGTTTAAAAAGAAGTATGTTGTGTTCATGGATAATGAGAACCAGATTGGTTTTCTTGAGGTTTACTGTGTTGCTGGATCACTTTTCCTCCATAAAGTACACTTTATAATTTTCAACACACTAAGGGGGGACAGCATTTTCTAATAACAAAAATATTGCAAATAAATAAACATACCAAAGCAAGCTTGGGTTGATTTTGTACCTGTGAGTTGTTTTGGATTTGGATTTCCATTGCTTTAGTAATGCAATAGTGTGATGTACATATCAACAGCCCAAACATAAATTCTGTTACCAGAATATTCTCCTCTTCATATGCACTCAGCACTACTCCCACCACCCCTCCAGCAGGTTCTGCCTGAAAAAGATGATCCTAAAGGTAACAAGAGCCAAATCTATACGGCTAAGAAACAATGCTTTGAATTGGACATTTAAACCTATTCACAACTATGCAGCTCCTGCACAATAGGTGTTATTCTGCTGAATTGATTTATACCAATCACCCAATAGGCAGTTGTGTTTTGTGCCAGCAGTAGCATTCTGGTTGACTTCAATGGCAGCCCCATGTAAGTGAATTTCACTTTGAGATATGACAAGAGCATGAATCATGGTAGTCCATGTTTCCTAGTCCATGAATGGATACTGTATAACTCAGTGTTTCCCAAACTTGGCTATTTTAAGATGCATGGACTTCAACTCCCAGAATTCCCCAGCCAGTATGCCTGGTTGAGGAATAGTATGCCTGGTTGAGGAATCCTGGGAGTTGAAGTCCATACATCTTCAAAGGGTCAAGTTTGGGAAATACTGGTATAACTGATAAGTCTGCCATAGGTGGTCAAAGGCTTTTCACTTTTAGTAATAGACGTCTAGAAGAACCCCTACATTGACATCAACAATTTCAAGCGCAACCTCATCTAGAGCAACACATGGTACTACGGTAGAGGATCTCAGTACTAATGCTAATTCTGGATTCAGTCTCAATCTGTATTTCCCAGCCAGATACTCACGACCTACAGGCATTTCCTGATTAGCAAGGGGTAGAGATATAAAGTCAGATGTCATCAGCACATTGGTAATGACACACCCCAAACAAATAGGCAACTTCCTCCAATCCTTCATGTAGATGTTAAACAAGATAGGGGAGGGAGGGTTGAGCCCCGAGCTCCCCACACTGGAGTGGCCAGGTTTGAACTCTTTTACCCCATAACCTCTGATTGGAACCACTGAGGAAGGAAGAACTAGGTCCATTGCAGAACAGTATCTCCAACTTTCATGAATAGTCTGAAAGGATACTGTGATGATGCTAAGGCAGGGGTTTTCAAACTCGATTTCATTGAGGGCTACATCAGGGTTGTGCTTAACCTTGGGGGGAGGTGAAGTGGGCATGGCCAGGGTGGGTGTGGCCAGCTCAACGTCACTTGTGTCGGGGGCACCTCTGGTGGGCTGAGCGCTCTGCCAGTGAAAACGGGCTCCTGAGCTCTTTTTCCGGCTTCCACGGCTTCCTGAAACCCTCTGCCAGTGAAAAGGAGCTCGGGAGGGCTGCACACTTGTATTTGACTTTTTTTAGTTTAAAATTAAGAACTTTAACAACACACCCAAAGTTCCTACTACATATCTTTAATCAACTCCTCTTGGTTGGTAAGCCCAAATCCAAAGTAGGAGAATTCTTAGTGTTTATCTTAACCCTTTCAAAAAAGAAAATTCTTGCCAACAGAAATCAAGAACTCATTGCTTCACATTGCAATGAACAATGACACACATTCAATTTAGCAGCTACTAAGATTGTTGGCTAAGCAGGGACAAAAATAGGTAGGGAAATTATTGAAGCCTGGAAAACGGGCCATTCATCATTCAACAGGAGTGCTGATTTACTACCAGCTTATCAGGTACTTAGGAGCTGAGGACAAGGAAACAACAACCAACAATTTAATAGCCAGCCATCAACACCCCAATTAACAACTAAAAGCCACTGCCTCCTGAAACCCTCTGCCAATGAAAAGGAGCTTGGGATGGCTGCACATGGCCCTCCTGAGCTCCATTTTCTCTGGCAGAAGCACCGCAGGCCGGTCCTTCCCTGTTTCCAGGCTGGCCCCATGGGCCAGATCTAAGTACCCCACAGGCTGGATCCGGGCCCTGAGTCTTGAGTTTGACACCCCTGTGCTAAGGGATTTGATACAAATTAAAGGTACATCAGCTTTCCATATCACTATAATTCATACAGAAGAGCTATAAATGAAATCCCAGTTACTATGACCAGGTCTGAAACCTGACTAAAAGGGATTCAGTATATGGAAAAGTTGAACATTTTGTAAGAAAATAGGAGAGAGAAAAAAAACATTCCTGGAGGATTAGAAAGTTGGTATAAAGGAACTTTCATCTCATCAAAACAGGATGAATGAAAATTGCATTATTAATAATAATAGGTGCCAAAATGATGGGTGCCAGAAGGAAGGGTGCAGTAGAATAAAATGATTTTTCTTTTAGAAGAAGGACATTCAAAGCTTCATTCAAATAATTACTTCCAGTCTAGGGCACCAATGCAGCCTGTTCTCTGAAATCCTATTGTGCAGAGAGAAAAGAGCTAGTCATAAAGACTGGAATAGCCCTGTGTGCATCAACTAACAAATTTATAGCTTAGCACTAAAACATTGGCCTCATACATAGGCAATTAAATGGCAGTATTGACTTTTCTGCCAGCTTCAATGTGTTTGACATCTGTTCTGGCACCAAGTAGGACCCAATAAGCATTTGGCTATCGATGATAATCAAAGAGATTTGGTTAAAAACTGTGGAAATGGATCAGTTTCATAAATGCACTATCCGTAATGGTTATTATATTTTAGCATGCATTCACATGACT